GGGGGGGGGGGGGGGGGGGGGGGGGGGGGGGGGGGGGGGGGGGGGGGGGGGGGGGGGGGGGGGCGTTGTGAAGCGCGCACACCCGCTTTTGACAGGAACACAAACACGGGTGAAATGTCACGACAGTAGAGTACGGTGTTGAGTGCTCATGGTGGTTGGGCAAGAGACCGTGGATATTGGAGGGGGCGCTTGCACGCAGACCCCAAGGCACGATGCGCGTTGGAAGTCTTGCAACACATACTACAACTCTGTGTCAGCTTCTCATCATGTCGGCAGGAACACAGGCAGCACGTGGACAAGCGTGTTCTCTTTGTTGGTTTTCTGGTGGAAACTCTTTGTCGTGTTGTGCTTCCCTCTCGCACGCAGCAGGCGGGTGCCCCGACGGGGCTCTTCGGTGCGGCCCCGGCCCCGGCGGCGGCGGCGGTGGCGGCGGCAGCGGTTAGCGTGTCGGAAGGGGCGGCGGAGCGGCGGGAGGAGTTCATGCTGGACTCGCTCGTGTGCGCGGTGGAAGTCTTGTTCTTCATCTACTACTCGTACCAGGCAAGAGAGGAGACCGGCCAGGGAGGGAGGGAAGGAGGGAGACAGGATAGTAGACCATCTGCCGTGCTCAAGTAGTATTTCTGGTGTGATTTACATGACAAACGACGGCCTGGATGCTGCCGGCTGTTGTTTTCTTGAGCGCGCTCTCCAAAACCTAAGCGGTTGCTTTCGTCTATGTAGCTTGATGTTGTTGCGGTTCACGCGTGCTACTATCTTCTTTTTTTTTCCGGCTTCGACGTTTGAACCGTTTCCTGTCACTCGTTCGTCTCTCGAACTGGAAGAATGTAGCGGGCACGATCCCGAGAGTCTCGCACCACACGGTGCGCTGTGTCAAGAGCTGCCCGCGCTGGACCGCCGGCATACTGTTCTGAAAGTCAAGCTTTCTGGTTCTCTCTAGTGCTCTCCATGGGCTGTATGACGTCAGAATCAGCTGTGGTCATGAATGACGAAAACGGAGGAGCAGCACGTCACAACACAGCATGTGCCAGCATGTCGCTACCTCGCTTACAACTCTTAGCAGTCTCTGCCTCCCACAACTCTCAGGCTTTCTTTCGTTTCTGCGACAGACGGGAATGATGTTCGCACAGCACGCCCCGCGCGTAGCGCGCCCTGCGGTGCCCTGGTGTGCCACGAGAGCTTCCCGCACGGGCACGGACACTTTTGTCCCCAAGCAGATACGAAGCATGTTTTTTCTTTTTGTCGATCCGAGATGCTTTTGGGAACGAACCTCAACTTACATGTGTGTGAATCTAGCTTACCCTCCCTGCACAGCGAAGCACATATTACTCATTTGTTAGTCTACGTTTTGTACATCACTTGCGGAATGGTACATAAAAGCATCAAGCCATGCAAGGTGTGTTGTGATTGGACTACTGCTGTAACACTGCTGCTGCTGTAGAGCCAAGCCGGGAAACATCTCTTCCTGAAAATGAGAAGAGAAACAATCAAACGCAACTTGCTGGATTCGGAGGCCGTCTGCCATAGCATGAGCCCTGCGTGCACCCAGAACAGACCCTTTGGCACACACGCAGAATCGCCATCTATTGTAGTGTGGATGTGTGTCCCGGGATGCAACAACTTCCCGCACCATGATCAAGCGTTGACAGTGGACTTCTTTCAATATCCGACTTCGAACCTTCGAACATGCATCTATGTCTCTTTTGCTCTATACCGTAGACGTGTGTGTATGCAAGCAGCAGTATCTGTTCAATCCTCGATCTACCTACACCAGGAGCAGCCTGCAAACGCTTCCTTCCATTCTTTTACCTACGGGTAATACGCGAGACCGGCCCTCGTAGGGGGGGTGTACTCATAGTCGTGCATGCCGTAGTCGTTAGACCATTGACCTCGCATCCCTACAAAGCCGGGACGGAGCACGCCGGGTTCTCACCGGACCAGGCTCTCACATCACCAAGCGCGAAGCGCCGTGAGATATTCGGCGAGTCGCATGAAGGGTGCGCTGCATCCTGCTAAGGGTGTTCGGCATCTTGTGCTTACTTCCTTGCGTACGGATGACAGCTGCGTATGAATTAATTTATTTTCTGGTGCTTTCACTTCCAGAGACAGTTGTAAGCACTGTGTAACTGCCTCGAGGGTGCTTGACCATTTCAACACAACGTGGTGCGATCATCCCCCTTGCGCGGAGTGAGGGTTCTCCACCCCGCACAACATGATCTACTCGACCACCATTATGGTTACCGCCCAAAAAAAAAAAAAACGGAGGAAAAAAAAAAACCGGTAACCTGGTTGCCGAGTTCACGAAGTGAATTGGCTTGTTTTACAACGTCGTTGCCAAGCGACGAAAACCCAATCCCGATGGCAAACACCAGGGGGAGGGGGGGTAAGGGGGGCGGGCGAAAAGCACATCTTGTATTCTATCGACGTTCACTTGATCACACTCGTTGAGCTATTCTATGGTGTTTGTTTCGAGAGCGCTAGGGTGATTTTGCTTGACAAGGGAGGGGTAAGCATATCCGACCCTATCCAGAGCCCCCCAACCATACCTCCTTACCGCAGACAAAACAGAGTAAAACTCTACCCCCTCTCTCTCTCCCCCTCTCTCTCTG